TCCATTGACAAACAGTTCGGGAATCCTGAAGCCACCCAGCAGCCCAGCTTTGTGGCAGAGCCAGGACAATTCAGCTGCTGGATTTTAATAGATTCTGCAGCAGTGCAACAGGAACCAAAAATCACTCTGGGTAACTGAGAGTGGTTTTCACACCCAAAGACTCTAAGGCTGGCCACAGTATACTGAGAACCCTGGCTTTTCAAAATTCCAGGGCCATGAAGTCATCCCCAGCCACGAAGTTTACTTAACCCTTGCAGCCAGCTCGGGTGTACAAACCACCGCTGGAAAACTAGAACCTGCCAGGCCAGAGTCACAATGGCCTATGTGTATTTGTGGTTTTCCTCTTTCCCAGTGAAGTATTTAAGGTTTCAGAGTTACTCCACCAACTTAAAGTAAAATAGTCAGCACTTTAGAAGGAAATGGGCAGAAGTAGTGGATTTTGGGGGAGGATTTTCTGAGTTCACACCAGGAAGAATATTTGACAGCCTCAAAGCACACACTTGGAGGAAAAGACTGGTACAAAACAAACAACAGTGGGTGCTGACTGAGAGAGCTATCTAACCAGCATCGTTCAGCAGCTAGTAGAGTGGGCTCTCTTTGTGGCAACTTCACGGGAAAGAGACCCATCTGAAAATGCTGCTAGAAGGCTTTGTTTGAAATGCAGCATCATGTCAGAGCCATTTCAACAGATGGTTCCTGTCTCTTTCCTCACAGTATTATGCTAAAACAACTTTAGTGATTCTGAACCGCATTGTTAGCGCTTATAAACCTCCTCTTCCAAAGCAGAGAAGACTTCTCTCTTTCTCTCTGACACAGTGTCTAGTGGTCTGAAGAGTGGTCCTCTCTCTCCCAGGAGAGAGTAATAAATAACTAGAACAACTTTCAGATGATCCTATCACATAGGGGGGAAAGGTAGGAAGAGAACAATTACACGTTTACTTCTATGCTAAAGTACTTTCTTTGCTGCTAAGAGAAACATGACTCTCCTTTTCTTGCCTTTCATGGACTCTAGATAATGCAAAAAAATTAAAAGGCAGGAGGAGGCAAGGGTGAGGGGGAATTCGTGGGAGACTGCAGTGATTCCAATAGCTCCATGCATCTGATCAGTACAATAATCTTGTTGCCTGACCCTCACCTCTGAATGTGTGAGGCTAAGCCAGCAGCTTTCTCTTGAGTTTCTCTGCCATTGCCACCCTGTAGTAACATGATTATAAACAACAAACTTAGCACATAGTTATTTCAGTGAATCCTCGTGAAGAAAATACTGAAACAGCACCTCTCTGCACTCTGAAATTTAAAAGGAGGAAAACTAAAAATAGAAACTGGAAACCTGGAGGAAATAAATATTTATATTGGCAAATTTAAAAACTGAATACTAAGGAGCTAAGAAAAGAGAAAATTTTTGAGCTAAGGACACCATTAATGTGAAATTTCCAGGCCTTATACGTGGTCATTGTTAGGTGTGGCTGGGGGTTCTGGGGAGGGCTGGAATAGATAAGAGGGGGTTCAGGAAAAATTTGCAACACAATAGAAGGAATTCTAAGGTACTGAGGCCATTAAAAATATCCAAGTAAAAGACAAAACTACAGAGAGTTAAAAGATCACTGTTTGGGGGAGTAGGAGATAAATAGATGGAGCACAGGTGATTTTTAGAGAAGCAAAACTATTCTGTATGATATTGTAATAACGGATATATGTCATTATGCATTTGTCAAAGCACATAGGATGTACAACACAAAGAGTGAGCCCTAATGCAAACTAGAAATTTTAGTTACTATAATGTGTCAATATCAGCTCATCAACTGTAACAAATATACCATACTAACAAAAGATGTTAATAATAGGGGAAACTGTATAGATGCTATACTGAAATTCTGTACTTTTTGTTAACTGAAAATGAGATAACTAAAACTCCTCTAAAAATTGTCTGTTCATTAAAAAAAAATCATAACAGAAAATAAATCCAGGAAAAAAAATTTCTATTAAGTGTTTGACTTGTTTTGGTTTACATGAAAATAGTTTTAACCTTTTCTAATGCACGAATTAATAATCTAAAAGTTATCAACCCTAACAAAAACAATTATTTGACAAAAGCACAGATATCTGTATTCTGTTTAGTTTTATAATGCAGTTATAGAAGAGGTCATGATAAAAATGTGTGCAGTCAGCTAGCTGAGAATAGCAAAGTAAAAAGAGCAAGCTTCTTAATCTCTCTGAGCATTTGGTCTCCTTCATCTGTAAAAAGGGACCATAACAGTAACCATGGAAGGACTGAATGAGATAATGTTTACAAAGTGCCTAGCACAATGCCTGGTATATGGTGTATGCCTGATAAATGCTACCTACTACAATTTTCATATTAGTGTTAGGTCATGCTCTTAACAGGGCTAATAGCATGCGTTTAATCAACTTATGTGCCAGTTAGCTTATTCCTATTTCGAGGCTGCAGAGTGCACCTAGCTCCACTCATCTATAAAGTGTCTGCTGCACCTCTAAAATGGATGCTTAGCAGTTCCCACATGGGCAAGAGGGCAGCGCAGTAAGGAATGGTTAAGGATGTCAACTCTATCGTGTGGCTTGAGTGTTGTCTTTCAGGAAGGTGTGTGGGTCAGGAAACCTGAGCCGAGGGTTTCTTACCCCAGCAGCCAAGGCAATCTTGAGACATACACCCTGACAAACCTGGATTAATGATCTGCAAGAGGGAGGGGTCCTGGCTGGCAGTTTGGCCCAAAGCCATGTTTTCGCTGACACAGCCTAGTCCTACTCTTGCCAAACAGTTTCAGTCAGCACGAGGCCATGTGTGAGTGAGTCCTCGAGCGATTACACAGCAGTGTGCAGAATCGAAAAGCATTCAAGAGCCGAAGGACGCTCATGATGCCAGGCATCAGCAACTCAACCCCCTAAACAGGGATGGGAAACAAAACCAGGTCCCTCTGCAAATTCAATCTGTGATGCAGCCATACCCTCTGGCAGTCTTGAAGGCAGGTTTAAAATTCACTTGGCAACCATGCCATCATAGACTTTATGGAGGTCTAATCAAGCCTGGAACTGATCAGCCTTGGAATACAAGACCTTAAAGGGACATATAGAAAGTGGAAGAAGGACAAGATTCTGGGGTTGATTCTGAGTAGTGTGAGCCTTTTTGTACAACCCCCAGGCCTCAGGACACTGATGGTAATGAAGATCAAATGTAAGCATTATAGCAGCCAGGGTAGATTAAAAAGGTCTAGTGCTCCAATCTTAGAGTTCAAAGGATTTTTCCTCTTTAAGGCTATGTTTAGATCCTAGTAAGGGCTCATGAATGAATTTCTCTGTAATACCATAGTGACAATTACATTCTGACGTATACAGTCTATATTACTGTTATTATAAAATTACAAGAAAAATGTGAGATAGTGGTCATTTTTAAAAGTCCTAAATAGTAAATACACACACACACACACACACACACACACACAAATGCATTGTTATTTGTCTTTAGCAAATATCCAGCTAATCAGCTATGCTAGGGCAGCATATATCCTCCAAGTTAACAAGGCAGTCCAGTCTCTATTTCACTGGTTGGGGTTGCTGCTTTAAGCATACTTCATAATATGACAGCAACATCTCCCTTCTATCTCACAACCTGCTGCTCCTAATGACTCATTCCTTAGGGTTCTGACCCCCCTACATGATACCCCTGAATCAAGCAAGGGTCCATGACTCCCAGAATTCTAACCATCATAGTTACCTTCCTGCTGTTTTCCTTGTCTAGCCTCAGGTTGTAGATTTCTTCAAGTTCCCTTGGGCCAGTCTAATAGCATGGATTCTAGCATTAAACAGATTTAGCTTAACCATTTACCTACTGTTTGGCTCTGGGTAAATGACTTCAGTAGACCCACAATTAAACTCATTTATAAAAATGAGAGTAATTTCTTATCTGACAAGTTTATGGCAAGGAATAACTTATGTAACACGCACAAAAACTTAGCACAGTGCTTGGCAGATAGTGAATGCTCAAAAGTCATTCTCTATCTATCCCTCTACCCTCAGATCCTCTGCCTCTACCTTGTATCCCATTTTTGGATTCTTAAGAGTCTTCCAGCCTTAAGAAATAAGAACTGACAGAATCCAAAACTGTGAGATCAGAATGGCTTGGTTTGCTTGACCTAACATCTTGCCATGAGACCAATCTCCAAGACAGTAATGCAGTGAATAGGGGGAGGCGGGTAAAATGAACTTAAAAAGAAAGATTTCTCTAAACTTCACCTCGTTCCACAAATGATTTGATTCAGCTTAAAACCAATTTTAACAGTATAAATTTTATCTATAAGTGATATTTTGAAGTAGGAGGAGGATAACATTTTTAATATTTGGTATTTAATTTTTCTTCTTGTTATTGGGACCTTAAACATCATAGTCATTGCAGGTATGCTTAAATAAAAACAGTGATATTTTTGAGGGAAGGCAACTGTGTGTATGTGTCTCTCTGTGTGAGAGAGAGTGAGAATATCCTATGCCTTCTCCTTGGACTGTCTGGATTATGTCATAGAAAAATATAATCAATGACCCTTTGATCAATGGAACAGGGTGGTGACAGGTACTCTTAATTCACTGTTGTCGGTGATTATTGACAAGCTGGTAATGATCACGCTGTACTGTGTCACTCATGCTTGAGGGCATTAGCATTCTTTAAAGGTCAAAACAAATTCTTTTTTTAATGCAGAATTTCTTAGAAATCAGGGAAGCCTCAGAATTTTTTTAAACCAGGTGCACACTGTAAACTAGAGAATATGTGAAACACTCAGAATTTCGGTTCTTTCCCTCTGTCTCACAATCAAATGACATCAAAATTTCCTGATTTAAATTCCTGGCTGTTAAACAGACTACATGGCAAAAGTCTTCCAATGGGCGAATGAAAAGGGGTTTTTAAAAGCTATTTATGTCTCCAGGAGGCTTAGGCAAAAGTAAGCATTAACCAAAGGCAAATCTGTACCAAATTAAAGCAAAATTATACTTACTCTGTGACACTCTTACTAGCTCAGTCACACTAAAAACACCTGATGTGACAAAACTGTCCTGGAAGCCCAAATGTCCTGGGGAAACAAAAACAAAAGAAACAAAGTGTCATAAATAGAAGATATTTGGCAACAGAATTCTAAACATGAGTTTCGTTGTGATTAAAAAACATGACGTCTAATTTCATATTCTGCTCTAGTTAGAGTTTCCGTGGGAGGATACAGTCATTTAGATATGTAGAAGTTTTTGGGGGGGTTTGAATCTGGAGGTTATGGAAAGCTTTGACACAACTGGGTGGTTTTTGAAATGGTTAAAAAAAAAAAACTCAACAGGAAATCTGAAACAAAAGACGATTTAAAATAAATGGTTACCTTGGCTGACCTCTGAGACCTTAAAACTGGGATGAAAACAGCCTACCTAAGAATCAGCCAGGATAGCTAAATTCCATAACAGTTTCTAAATATTATTCTCTAAAGAAACATCTGACGAGGATTAGCTATTCATTCATTCAAATCAAACAAGATTTAAAGATGTTCTCTTCATTTCTAGAGGCACCATAGGGTAAATCTTTAAAAAGCCAGACTAGAAAAAGGAAGCCCTTAAAACATAAAAGCAAATTCTTTTGAGCACAAATAAAAATTTATATTTGTTTCAAGAACAAGAGGTTTTTGTGGGTGAGTTGTTTTTTTAAAGATAAATTAATAGTTCATCATCAATTACATATTACAAAATTCAAAAATTCATTTTTGATGGATATAGTTAATTTCCTTTAAGATATCTGATATTACATCTATTATCAACTGCATGTTAATTAATATAGTACATTCAGGAACATAAAACTTACAAATGGCAAGGAATATGTAATTGATGATACGTCCTTTCCCTCTCTGCTTCTAAAGTTTTCTCATGCTATGTGTCTCCCATAGATAGATACTAGTTGAGAGATCTGTGTATAGTATAGTTAATATAATCACCTGCTTTAAAATTAAGGCCAAAGGAGAAGTTGTTGGCTGTTGGTTGAAGGGGTTTTTAAAAATAACTGTTCTTTGAAATATAGAACACTCCTTTAAGAAATGCAACATAAGAAAATAGATGAATTGGAATATATAACAATTCATAAATAATTATATTATAAATAAAAGCCCATTATGAAAGGGAAGCAAGTTTACCTATGGCATAGTTTATTACCAATAAGTGTGCTAAATGTCATGCACGTAAACACATGCAATAAATCACATTTTAGAGGATTATAAACAGACCTATAAATTCTTCTTCTTTTGGTTATATTGGATTTCTGCATAAGAATGATTTTTTACTGAGACTTGAAATAAAATTTACAGTTAATTTTTAAATCAAACACACAATCTATGATCTTTTAGATAAACAGCTCTAATGTTTAGAATACTCAAATCACAAATTGCTTTTTAAAATAAAATGGCATCATGTGTGGTGATGGATGTTAACTAGACTTATTGTGACGATCATTTTGCAATATATCCATATAGCGAATCACGTACATCTGATAATGTTATATGTCAATTATATCTCAATTTTTTAAAAATGTATATACACCATCATTTAAATAATGGCAAAATTTCATGTGAAGAATTGCTTAAGAAATTTTACCTCCCAAATAACCAGACCCAGGTAGTTAGTTGACTATTCTTTGGAAACTGCCTGAGGTGTTGTTTCTTGGATTCAGAGAACTGAGAAGCAAAAATAAATAAATCAATAAAGATTCTCTAACGTGTCCTTGACAAAACAGACTATAACATCTCTCTCTACTGTGACAATGTTCACTTCACATTTATCCCACAGATCATAACAAAGGAAATCCAACCACAATGTACATTAAGTTTGACTTAAAACACATACAACAAAGGCAAGGAAATTCGTAGTTGAATAGGAAAATCTGGGTTGATCTCCAGCTCTTGTTCATCTCTGTGTGCGTGTCACTTGCCTGCAGGCTGATACTTGTTTCAGTTCCAACCTTTGAAATTCTTTATTTTAAGGACAACTTAACATGATTTTCTGTATAGAGCCAATGTGAACACATTTGCTTTAATCTTGTCACCAAAAAAGCAGGCAATATATACTGAAAACTAATTTCAGTTTGGCACAAGGGCTTGGGAGGGGGAAAACCCCTGTTCTTCCATTTGATTCCTGCCCTGATTGCCCCTTTCCTGTTGTCCACCTTTTAAATGTCGGTGTTCTCCAGGGTTTACGCTCATCTCTCCCTACATATATGTATATTTCCTGTCATCTTCTCTATTTTCCTGATGTCAGCTACCAGGCTTGACTGTGATATTTGTGAAAGCTAGAATAATGTTTTGTTTTGTTCTCCACTGTATTTAATGCCTGGGACAAAGCAGATAGGAAGTGAATATTTGTTGACTAGTGGATGAATGAATCAATAGGCCAATGACTCTCAAATCTTTATCTTTTGCCAAGATCTCTCTCCTGGGTTCCAAACACATGAATCAAATGTTTATTGTATAGTTCTATCCAGATAGCCCACGGGTATCCTCAGACCCAACATGTCCAAAGCTGAGCTCACTTTCTTCTCCCCAAAAACCTGTTCTTACTCTTTTGACTTCCCTACATCTACCATTCATCTCATTTTCTGTGTTTTAATGACATCCCTGCCTCTTATAAACACCTACAACCTCCTAAACCCCACTGATTTAATTTCTTACAATTTCTTGACTCCATGTACATGTCCACCTCCCTCTTAAAGCTGTGGCTCAGGCTTTTCCCAGTTCTCACCAGCCTCCTAACTATGTTCTCTATCCTCAGTCTTAGCTTCTCCTCTAGTCCGTTCTCCACTCTGCAGCCAGAGCTGTCTTACAGGCAAGTCTGATGATTCACTCATTTATTCAACAAGTATTTATTGAGTCCCTACCGTGGGCCAGGTGTTGACCTAGGGGTTTGAGATACAGTCCCTACCTTCGGGGAATTTATAGTCTATGATTAAAGACAGCTGAAAATGAAAAACAAAAGAATATTTTAAAAATTATAAATGGTATAAATTACATGAAGAAAACAAATAGGAAAAGCTTTAGGAAGGGTGATTAGGGAACATCTCTCTTAAAAGCTGACATTTGAAAGATACTAAGGAGTCAGGAAAAGAAGAGGAAAGGGCTGTTTAGGCAGAGGGATTAGCCCGTAAAAAGTCCTTGAGAAAGGAAAAAACAAGGTGTTGGAGGATCTAAGATAAAGCCAATGTGTTCAGAGCTTACTACCCTGTCAGAAATCTTGCAAGAGCTCCACAGACTGCTCAGGGTACAGCACAAAAATGGCATACGACCTCCACGTAGCCTCTGTTTTCCTCTCCAGGCTCATTTTTTATCTTTTGTTGCTTGCTTCCAGGCCTACTCCTTGGCCTAAGTGAATATATGTTCCTCCATGGCTCTGGTTCGCCCCCTGCCCTCACACTGCTCCTTCTTCCTAGATTTCCTGTCCTTCCTACTTTTTTGTTGGCTACCTCCTACTTGTCTTTAGGACTCAGCTTTGTTGTCATCTCTATCAAAAACCTTCCCTGGAGAAAACTCCTTTTCTCTTTTCTCAATATTGATCTGCTGTATACTCTGTATAGCTCTAATCTAGGACTCTTAGTGTATTGAGTTATAATTTTGTCTTTTTCTCATATTAGACTATGAGGCCTTTGAGAAAGAGCATCTTCTGTGTCTTCGGCCCTCCAGGTCCTAATGCAGTGCCTGGTATGCAGTGAGCACTCCAGAGATGTCTCTGAATAAACACAATTCAAGTTGGGCTCAAGTATGTGTATTTTCCTTTTTATAAAAACATTGACAACTTTTTAAAATGTCTCTTTCTCTCTCTCATCTCTAGCAATATGTTTGAACTACAACTGAGCCAGTGTGCATCTGCAAACTATTAAAATGAACCATCCAAAGAGTCCCTCCAAACTAAAAAGGACAAGGACAGGATAGATAATCCATTTAGATAAAGCTTCTGATCAAGAAGATGCCATCAAGTTCTCTGATGAGAAATGTCTGGGGGTTGTTCTATTGTTGAGATTATGGTTCATGTGTTGAAAGACCAAATTAAAATAGAGTTGAAGGGCAGCATTACTTAACAGATACAAGAGGTATGATGGATTGAAGGAAGGAAGGATGGAGGGAAGGAGGGAGGGGGGAAAGAAGGAAGGAAAAAAGGAAGGAAGGAAGGAAGGAAGGAAGGAAGGAAGGAAGGAAGGAAGGAAGGAAGGAAGGAAGGAAGGAAGAAAAGGAAAAAAGGGAGGAAAGAAGGAAGGAATGAAAGGTTTAGTCTGAAGCTTAAACTAGTATCCTGTGTGATCTTGAGAAAGTCACTGCCAAAATAACAATTTGATCCTTCTTCCCTTCCCAGAAACCTGTCTCTTAAGGCTTATTTTAAACAGAATATGTGTAATTTAGAAGGTGAAACATATGTGAATGTACAATAACCAGAAAAATAAAAATAAGGGTAGAATTATTTCACAAATTCTGATGTAACCATCTCTTCACAGTATTATGAAATTATCATGTAACCTTGACTGCTTTTATATTTATAATGTGTCTCCAAAGAAAGCTCTGTGTAAACATGCCATGTAACTTTAAATGACTATGAAACTGGTTTTGTTCCTTCACCAATTATTTGGAAACCACTGATGAACTCTAGAAGAAGACAGCAACAAGAGATGAAACATAAGAAATGATGGAAAAAATGACATGGCTAATGTAATTACTAAGCAAACCTGAGCAGATTAATATTTCGTTCTCACTAATACAAACCAAATCATAAAAATGACTTTCAGGGAAATAACACTAATCTGGGTGTTCTACTTTATTGCAAGATGAGAGAAAAATGGAAAAGAATATAAAAAGGTACATTTAAGTAATTCTGAATTCAGATGTTAACATTAAAAGATCCTCAGTTGGAAAGCTGATTAAGCATTCCTGAAAGGTCCCAAGATTTACATTTTGAATAGGGTCTCTCAAAAATGAGTGCAAAACATATACTTTTGCTAAGTATGTCTTAGATGAAAAGCCAGATTGCATAATGATCTGACTCTTTCTCCAATTCTGAACTACTGTTC